CTAAACGGTACGAAGCTGGGGATGTCACTGCTGTGGCGTTTGAAAGATGGCCGCATGTATAGATCTATGGGCTCCTGGACGCTCAGCAAGCGACGCATTCGGCCCAGAACTGTGGTCTGCCCCCATAGGTTGTTGGTATCAACGTCCTCACTCTGTAATATCTCAGAGAGACTGTGAAGGAAATATGATTATACATCCTACTTATGATATGATATAACTTGATTCTGTGCCAGACAGTTGGTGTATTTGATAGTTCATGCAAATACACACTAAATGGCCAAACTGACCATGACACCCGTATGTGCTTGCTGAACATCCTATTCCAGATTTAGTTCCCCTTTGCTGTTATAATAACCTCCACTCTTCTGGGAAGGCTTTCCACTAGATTTTGGAGCGTGGCTGTGGGGATTTGTGCTCATTCAGCTACAAGAGCGTTAGTGAGGTCAGGAACTGATGTCGGGCAAGGATGTCTGGGGAGCAGTCAGTGTTCCAGTTCATCCCAAAGTTGTTCAGTGGGGTTGAGGTCGAGGTCAGAGCTCTGTGCAGGACACTCGATATCTTCAACTCCAACCTTGGCACACCATGTCTTCATGGAGCTCGCTTTGTGCACACGGGCATTGTCATGCTAGAACCGGTTTGCTCCTCTGAAGGGAAGTTCCAGTGAAGGGAAATTGTAATTCTACAGCATACAAAGACATTCTATACAACTGTGTGCTTCCAACTTTGTGGCATCAGTTTGGGAAAGAACCACATATGGGTGTGATGGTCAGGTGTCCACAAACTCATATAGTGTATCTGTAGGTGTGTGGGAGATTCCTGCTCACCCCATGTCAGTAGTGGAGCCCAAGAATGACGGGATGCAGTAGTCTGCGGCAGCGAGGGTATATGGTGGTCGTACATCAGGGTCATTCCAATAAATATCTTTAGTCATGTGGGGAATGTTCATATGCATCTCATCCACTGCCATCAGAGACACCTGCCAGCAATACAGCTATTGTCATTACCTTACCATACCTTTTCAGAACAAGAACAGAATTTTTAACTTTTATATATTTGTATACCAAAAATTTCAGCTGAGCCAAGGCTTTAGATCTGGCACTTCAATAACTTCATAGTATTTTGAAGTCAAGTCCTTAACCTAATATTTACACTCATAAGACAGTACCACCATTAAAATGTATATCAGTACATTAACGCACAACCATGCATCCACGTAACAAACCTGCAGGTTCCTATCAATGCACCAGTTGGCTTCAAAGTCATCATCATCCTCTCCAAATGGGTTTATGAGCTGCTCTGCTACCTGATACGTAAAAATATAGATACACCCTTTAATTAGTGCACTGTACTGTATTTACATGCCAGGCTTACAGAATTGTCTTGCGCTTCTTTTTTAAGCTCACTGAACAAAACATAACAGCGACTTATTGCACATCAATAGATTGCACGCCTGGATGAATATAATTCAAGAACTGATTGTAAGTTGCTGGTCAGGCACTGAAGTTGCACTTTGTGCTTCATGGCCGAGCAAAAATATTGACACTCCCATGTTCCAGGATGATGACTGTTGTAGTGCAAAGGGCCAATTCTGGAGAACTGGGGCACTGGCCTATAGATCTCAATTCCATAGAAAACTTGTGGAATTATCTGGAACATCAGGTGAAACACCACAAACTCCAGTGAAATTGGACACACACTCAATGGAACAAAATCTGACAAGATCTACAGACACTGGTGAAATTCTTACCTGACAGTATTGGTGGTGTTATTAAGGCTATAGAAGGCTTAACTAAGTATTCGTAGAAAAGAACAAGTGACATACATGACAAATTTTTGTGCAGAGAGCTTCCGTAAACCACTTTTAGGCACACAGATTCGTTGAGTGTATTATATTATTTCAGTGTGAGTCTGCCCATTATGTCTGCCTCTCGAGCTCTGTTTGCTATCTCCTCATTTGCAGTAATTGAAGCAGCATGTGGAGGAAATGGAGGGGGGATGTTTTCACAGGTAATGTTCCTTCATAGAACACAAAATCCAATTCTGGTTACAAAGCAATATGCCTGTGAACGTTTTCAGTCCTTCAGGTCATGCTGAATGTCTTGAGGTGATAAGTAAACTGGATTTGTCAGATACACTGCAAAAAAAAATGCCATCTTAGCAAGTGAAAATATTTGAATGTAGTCAAATGTATCTAGTATTTCCTATTATAAGATTACAATACACCAAATATAAGATTATTTCTATTATTTTATTTCTAGACATTTTTACTAATTTCAAGCTTTACATTTTATTATTCTACTGGCAGATGATTTTGCTTCTTTCTGGAAATTAGTGCTTAAAATTAGCAGGACGAATTAGACTTTTGTTTTTATATCATCTTGATCGTTTTATGCTTGAAATGAGCAAAAAACGTCTAGAAATAGGTTTAATAATCTTATATTGTGTTTATTTCTTCTATTAATTTCTTATAACAGGAAATACTAGTAAAAAATGACTATATTTAAGATATTTCCTCACGCTAAGATTTTTGCAGTGTACACAGTCCAGTGCAGTGAGGAATACAGGATGTTTCAGCACACAACTCATAAAAGCTGGACTAATATCTTTAAACAGAGAGAGAAGACTGCAGCACCATCTATTGCCTGGCTACAAAGTCTTTGGCACTGCAAAAAAAATGACATCTTAGCATGAGAAAATTTCTTGAATATTTAGTGCTTCATGTCCCACATTCCAGGATGATGGGTGTAGTGTGCAAATCTGTGTGTGACTATATGGCATAGTACAATAAGGTGTAGCTATTGGTGGATGCGACTATTTTTTTTTTCCCACTGGGGAACTCGTTTTTTGTTTCATTTGCCGGCATTGGTATTGTGTTTTCATCTGTTCCAAAATTTATGTTTCAAGAGAATCAGACAAAATTAGAAAGAAAATTCTAGAAATGTGGTGTGCCTGTTCAGACCTTAAGCCATCCAGAATAGAAGAAGAACTGTAGCAATGTGAAGATGGGCACGTAAAAGTCAAGGTCGTGTCCCTGGTAACCCTGAGCGGGGTCAAGAAATTGTCGGCCGATGATGCAGGCTGAGAAGAATGTGTAGACAGCCAATGTTACAACCTAATTAGAGAGAAAGGGAGACAGAACGGAGAAAAGTTAAATCCACAGTTTTTCATTGCTCTTATTGTCCATGACTTCATTACAGTTCTGTCTTGAACAATTTAGCAAACTCAGCAAATGAATGGATGTTTACTAGGCAATTAGCAATGCTTCTTTCTCCTTAATGGCTTAAGACCTGTCCCCAGGAAAGGGCAATGTCTCATGTGGCCACCAGGACAAATAATTCTGTTAGTCTGGTTTGATCAAGCTTCACTGAGAGTTGAAAGTTTATTGCTTCACAAGGACAGAGTGCTCATGTGTGCTGTCTCTGGCTGGCGGAGATATACAGAGTATTTGCAACAGATGGAAAAATCAGGAGTTGTTTATGTGGAAAAACTTCACCTGTGTGTAAACCAAGGGGATCCCAACCCAGTCATATCCAAACAAAGTAGAGCACCAGGTCCTGAATTTGTTCATCTCCTGAAGGAACACACAAACAGAAAGGTCTTCAGGGCTACTCGTATTCCAGGCTAATGTTAAAGTCTGATGCTGATTTTAACCCCACAGGCAGTTCATTAGTCATCATCTATCTTTAGATCCCTGTTCAGCCAAGGTTCCACCAATTCCACAAAGGTTTCCGCTTTGCAGAAACCCGATTACGTTTGCGACTGAGCTAGTTCTTAGAGATTAGCCTTTAGTGGAAACCCATGCTTATGGTTTAACCATGCACACAGTTATGACAAATGGGTGTCAAATGGGTTTCTGGTATCATTCTACTTTTCCAGACTGGCTATGCTCTGGGAATGTATCCAACATTTTGACATACACAGCCTGTTAGGGGGACAAATCTACTCTCTGCGCTGATGCAATATGATTATTACAATGCAAATGGGTCACTGCTGTAATTTGAATCCAAACTTTTATAATCATAAATCATTTTTGCATAAACTACTTTGTTTACTAATTTCTCCATTGTCCGTTTATCTTAGAAGATGTCAAAGCAGAGATTTTTAAGAATGACCTGATGTAAAACTGCTACACATAATGCAGCAGTATCATGTTAAAATTTTTCCTTGATGACCAGATCGGACAGGTGCGTATCTGATGACTTGTCAGTCTGTTTAAAGTGTCTCAAGGGCACTTGTTTGTCTCAAGCCAGTGATAGACGACATACAGTTTTTACTTGATACTAAAGCAGAACCCGATATTGCACTAGCGCCATGATCAGAATAGAATCATCAGTCTTTAGGGCATTAGAGGAATATAGCGCAGGCTTACGGTAAGTATGGTCTGAAGATCCACGCTGTCTTGTATTCGCCCCTCTTTCCTTGCCTTGGAGGCAAGATTGGTGAACCACACCACAGGAATCCAGTATTTGAGGTGTGGTGATTTGAGGTTCTCAAAGATCTTCCTCTCCTCTGATGTCATGAAGCCTAAGAAAAGTATCAAAGAAAGACTAAGCCAAAAAAGCCCCTCACCCCAATCAGCCACATCAGCAGCAATGATCAGATGTATGTGGTTTTAGTATTTGCTAAACAGCACTAGTATTCTTCGATCTGATTCAGTTTTGTTTGATTTTTTATCTACACCATGCTTTCTTTTTTCCAGTAGACAAAATGTTGTTGTTGTCCCTCTTTCAGCTGCTCCCATTAGGAGTTGCCACCGCAGATCATTGGTCTGCATATTTGATTTGGCACAAAAAGTATGCCAAATCAAATATGCAGACCAATGATCTGCTGTGCCAAATCAAATATACGGACCAATGATCTGCCAGCATTGGTCCGCATTTTTGATTTGGCACACTTTTTGTGCTGGATGCCCTTCCTGACGCAACCCTCCACAATTTTATCCAGGCTTGGGACCGGCACTGAGAGTGCACTGTCATTTGCAACCCCAGTGGCTGGGTTGGTTCCATGGCCGGGATTGAACGCGGGCCACGATGGTAAGAGTACTGAGGCCTAACCACTAGTCCTCCAGGGACCTCTCCCAGTAGACAAAATATTATTACAAAAAGACCCCAAATGTACAAGCTGTGGGCCACATTGGCAAAGCAGGCAAAGTAGGTATCAAGGAACCTTGATAGTAGCCAAGAATCAGAAGAAGAGCCTGCCCTGTGCTTAGTTTCAGAAATAATAGTAGGACTATACAATTAGACATACACTATATGAGCAAGAGTTTGTGGACACCTGACCATCACACCCATATATGGTTCTTCTCCAAACTGTTACCACAAAGGAAGGACACAATTGTATAGGGTGTCTTTGTATGCTGTAGCATTACAATTTCTCTTCACTGGAACAAACCTGTTCAAGCAGGACAATGCCCCTGTACACAAAGCGAGCTCCATGAAGTCATGATTTGCCAAGGTTGGAGTGGAAGAACTCGAGTGGCCTGCACAGAGCCCTGACCTCCTCACCCAACGTCAGTGCCTGACCTCACTAATGCTCTTGTAGCTGAATAACAAATCCCCACAGCCTCGCTCCAAAATCTAGTGGAAAGCCTTACCAGAAGAGTGGAGCTTATTATAGGGTAACTAAATCTGGATTGGGATTAGTTGATTACGTTTTTTATTCGTTTTATAACACAATAATCAATTATTATTTACACTCACCAGCCACTTTATTAGGAGCTCCTGTACATCTGCACATTGATGCAATTATCCAATTAGCCAATCACAAGGCAGCAGCACAACGCATAAAATCATGCAGATACAGCTCAAGAGCTTCAGTTAATGTCAAACATCAAACATCAGAAAGGGGAAAAAATTTGATCTCCGTGATGGTAGCATGGCTGTTGGTATCAACAATATTCAAAAGTATTTCAAAAACGGCTACGTAGTATTTCAACAGTCTACGGAGTTTATACAGAATGGTGCAAAAAATAAAAAACATCCAATTAGCGGCAGTTCTGCGGTTGAAAATGCCTTGTTGAAGAGAGAGGTCAATAGAGAATGGCCAAACTGGTTTGAGCTGATAGGAAAACTACAATAACTCAAATAATCACTCTTTACAAACGTGGTAAGCAGAAAAGTATCTCAAAACCATCATCAAAAAACACCAAAATTTGAAGCAGATGGGCTACAACAGCAGAAAACCACATCGGGTTCCAATCCTGTCAGCCAAGAACAGGAATCTGAGGCTACAGTTGGCACAGACTCACTGAAACCGGACAGCTGAAGATTGGAAGAACGTCACCTGGTCTTTTTCCAATCTTCTCCTGTCCGGTTTCTATGAGCCTGATTGACTGGCTGATTTGATATTTGCCTGAATGAGCGGGTGTACAGGTGTTTCTAACAAACTGCATGGTTAGTATATTGATGAATGGCATGTTTATTGTATCACAGCTATAAACAGTTGTTCCCTTACCAGAAAACGTAAACTTACAGCTTGAAGACTCCTTCCAAAAATGCTAAACAAACAGCTGCTCACAGAAAGCTTAACCATGTCAACGATTATGATTTACAATTACTATTACATCTGTTTATGTGGACACTCCACCATACAAGTCCATGTGTAAATTGTTCTCACAGAAATGATAAAGAAATTGATAATGAGTACATTAATATAAACCTATGATTAGCTTTCCAGCTGACACTACTATCAGAGCCGTGCTGCTAAAGAAAATGAATCAACATCAGTCAGAAGGAAGAATTCAACAGTGCTGTGATATAACTGTGATTATCAGTCTATCTTTCATTGTGGAGCTCATAATAATAATAATGAAATGATGGATTATGAATAAGCCTGTACATTACTATAAGAAAAAAAAAAAAAAACACAAAGTCTTGCTAATATGATAAAGAGCCGAAAGGTGTGTTTTATGCTTACCTGCGTCCACCACGTGGTCAATGGTAGGGAAACGCTTACACACTGCAGTGCTCACTGAGCGGAAGATAAGCAGTGAGGTGAGGTTGACGTAGCGCATTAGCGTGCGCCGCAACAACCGTCCATGTTCGTCCTGACCTTGAACACAGCTCGAGATGAGGAACATGAGCCGGTCAGGCCACGGCAGGTTCTGAAACTGATTCCACCAGCGGTTCACTACCAGCGTTACGTAGAAACCTGAAGAAAAGAAATGCTCATGATCTCAGAGTAATGCTATATATGTTATGTCATAGCTGCTTAGGAAATACTGTGCTAGTGATGCAATTTAACATTTATGGAAGGAGTCTCCCATGTCAGTGTGTGAGGTTTTCCACCATGGGAGAGTCTTCAGGACAGAGGCACTTTGCACTTTCCAGTTTCTCACTTATCAGCTTCAAGAGAGACCTTCCAATCAGAAGGCCAAGCTCTTAACCACTACAGCTGATCTGATCTGTGGTGAGGGACTGACAGTTTACAGCTGCTATAACGTAAATGATAACAGGAACCAACCTTTTTGCAGGTTTTTTTTTTTTTCTAAAAAACTGCTGTAGTATAAGAGGAATAAAACACTTCAGGATGTGCTGGTTTTGGAAAATAATAAACTTCACATTACACCACTCCTGGTTGATTATACTATAACAGCATGCCCTTATATTCCTTAATAAACCATACATGCTGCTTGAATGTGCTGTAAGACAACGTTAATAAAACAAGTTTCCTCAACAGGAAAAGCAAAAACTGAAACAGAATTAAAATGGTCTTTTCAGAATTAAAATTGTTTGGATTTTTCTTTTCTTTTACCTCAAAAGGATGTTTTTATGGCCTTAAAAATTGGTTAGGAAATTATATTATTTCACAAATTACTACAGGAACATAATTTGAACACAGCTGTAGCTTTAAAGACTGTATAATAACCTATTTATTTACAAAGCAGTAGTATTATTCTGTATGACTGCATAGCTTGCATATTTCATCTGTATGACATAATTGTAATTTCCCCAGAATTTTACAGCTGTTATTTAGTTCTTAGCATAAATGGAATTAGTCTGTTTATTATTTAATATTTAGAAAACATAGCTTTGTTTACTCAGCAGTGACTGAACAGTGATTGAATATTCATAATCAGTCAGTGATCAAAATAACATTCAGTAAATAATGACATTCAGCATGCGCCCAAAAGCAGTCAGCAGACCAAGTGCACCAACTCGGGGTGTGGTGAAAAACGTGAGGCTACGCTGTCATGAGGAACGTAATATCACGGGGATGCCAGTGATATATGTTAAAACAAAGTTGTCTACTTCTTATAGAGCAAATATATCACGTACGAATAAAAGACAACAATTTTTCACCGTTGTTTGACAAACTACTGAAAGCTGTAAGCAGTCTTCTTACTTTAAGGCCCGCATGGTTACATGACATTTCTGGTTCCACACACTCTCCGCATCATTTTTAGTAAGAATGTAGTAGAATATAGCAAAACTGCAATTTAGTAAAACGGTACAAACATATCTGGTATGTTTGTCTAATTGCTCCAAAGCTTCATCAACTTCAATCAGCATGTCTATACAAGCAGAAATTACAGCCTGGGAGTAAAAGAGCCAAATCTTACCAAGCACAAATGTGACAGGGATCTGCTCAGCATATCGATCACAGTATATAGACAGTTTCTCAAAGAAACGCTTCTGAGGATCTGTAAGCACCCATCTAAAGGTAATAGAGATATGCTGTTAGGATTAATGCTATTATACCAAATGTTTTTTTTAAAAACATACAATAGACGTTATGTGTGTCCCTCCTGAAAAATAAAAAACAATAGAAAAAAACATCACAGAAATTCTGATGGTGTCCATTACAAATACTATTACATACCATCAGCTGACCATTAAAACCATTACTATTATTGGTCCTTAATGGTTTCCACTAGACATAACATGCCACCAATAGAAGGCAACAAATTACCGATAGAGACCCCCAGGGACCATTACAGTTTTCATTAAAACCAGTACAATTCCCATTATAACCATTAAAACCATTACAAATTCTATGAGGGTTTTTTTTCTTTCTTTTTTTTTCTGCATCTGTGGTCATTCATTCATTCATTAGCTGGGAGAGCAAAATAGAGCATTTGGCTACTGAAGCATTTCTGTGTAAAAAAAAATGATTAACTATAGTAAATATAGTTAATTACAATTACAACAGTTAAAACCTATTTCAGGATTCGTGCTGGTGGAAGCAATAACATGTGAAAGAGCCTGATGTTTAGGAACTGTAATAACAGCACAAAATAGAGGGAAAAGATTTAAAATATTAAACACAGGGTTAAAATGATGTTTTGTGGTCTTGGAAGAGATCATGTAGATGCTGTAGATTACCTGTAGATGAAGCTAAGGATGGAGTAAAGAAGAACAAAAATGAGAAATTCACGGTAGAGCAGTTTGTAAATGCTGCCTCTCCACCTCAGTAACAGTCTGTGGAAACCGAAGAAGGTGGCGTTAGCCACTTTACTGGAGTAAGTCACTGTCATCTTAAATCAGTCCTCAATCAGTTTCCTGTGGTTACCTCGTTAAATGGCCTGTGACAGCTCTACCTATTCAGCCAGCTCTACCTCTTCAACCAGCTCTACCTCTTCAACCAGCTCTACCTCTTCACCCACTGCCTTATGTCTGCCTGAGAGGTTTCACCCCACGGTACACACAACACTGCAGCCTGTGGAGGGGCTGTGGAGGGGCGTCTATCCCTGTGTGTTTGTGAGGAACAGACAGACAGATCAACAGAGAGAGAGAGGGAGGGAGAGAGACAGACAGATAAACTGACAGATAAACAGAGAGAGACAGACAGACAGACAAACAGACAAAAACAGGCAGACAGAGAGAGAGAGAGAGACAGACAGACAGACAGACAGAAAAACAGGTAGACAGAGAGACAGATAGAGGCAGACAGACAGACAGAAAAACAGGCAGACAGAGAGAGCGAGAGAGACAGCCAGACAGACAGACAGAAAAACAGGTAGACAGAGAGACAGATAGAGGCAGACAGACAGACAGACAGAAAAACAGGCAGAGAGAGAGAGAGACAGAGAGAAAGGCAAGCAGAGAGAGACAGACAGAAAAAAGGCAG